CTTTTCAATTAAAAGTATTTGTGAAATTAACATCGCTACAGAAACAGTCAAATAGACTAAACCTATTTCGGATGTTGACATTCCTAAACCACCTAAAATTCAAAAAATGTATACACAGTTTAAATCCAGAAAAAAAAGTTTATTTGTCTTTTTTCACTTTTGATAAATGATTTTTGATAATTGTTTTGTATATATAGGAAGATTGTTTACAATTTTATGGTTCTTATTATGTTAATTTTTACAATTACATACTTTATTTTATACCGTTTTTAACAAAAATACTCTAAATGATAATGACTATATATAGCCGAAACATGTCTTGAATTTAAAAAGTGAAATGGTTTTAAATAAAAATAAATTATCTCTTTATATATATATATATATATATATATATATATATATATATATATATATATATATATATATATATATATATATATATATATATATATATATATATATATATATATATATATATATATATATATATATATATATATATATATATGTATATATAAATACATATATATATATATATATATATGTATATATATATATATATATATATGTATATATATATATATATATACATATATATATATATATATATATATATATATATATATATATATATATATATATATAATATATATATATATATATATCTATATTTATATATATATATATATATATATATATATATATATATATATATATATATATATATATATATATATATATATAACTACTCATATATTTATAAATAAATGTATTAATTATATAGATAGTTTTATTTAACTCTATATTTTTTTAAAAAAAAATATATAGGTTAATCCAAACGGTTTTAACATTAAGTTTGCTATAATTTTTTTTGATTTACTCTAGGGTTCCTTAAATTTGTCGGCCACCTCCTAATGGGGTATGGAATAGTCTAGCTACGACTGAATCAGGAAAAAACTTATTTAATTACATAAAACAACTTTCATCAAAACAGAAATGCCTATAGATTTATGATTTTTTTACCCAGATTTTTTGGTATTGTTTTAACATACTCTTATGAGATATTTAATTGCAACTCATGATGAATTGTCAAAACATGCTTGTTATTTATTATCAAAATAGTTTTAAAAATTCAATAGTTTGTCTTGTTTATGAATATATATATATATATATATATATATATATATATATATATATATATATATATATATATATATATATATATATATATATATATATATATATATAAAGAGAGAGAGAGATAAAGAAAGAGAGAGAGAGATTTAAACCAATCTTTATGCGGAGTGACTAATGAGTGGCGTAGAGGTCATAATTCATTTTTAATTTTAATTTTAATAGAAGTATTTGCACTGATTGTTCAAAGTTACGTTTTTTATAATTTTTGACTAAGTTCAGAGCATCGGCGCAAAGAGTTTGGTATATAATCCAGTTAATTTATTTAACAATATTTTTTTAATGTGTTCCTGTACCAATAATAAACTAACTCTTGAAGGGTGATTTTTTTGTTGATCTTTGAACATTTTTTTTTTGTGTTTTTACCTCATTTTGGTTTCAAATGATATTTTTTTTAAACGACTGTTACTGAAGCCTTGGATCAAACAAATCTAAATCCGAAATGTTTTCCTGAAAAGATTGGGCAAAGGAAAGGATTGGGCAAAGAAATTTCGATGTTGTAAACTATACTAGTTCAACGCGAGTCAAAAGTTACGATACACATTTTTTCTGTGGTTATTTTAGGTGTTTCAAGAAGACCTAACAGTAGCATCACAGAGTACCACAAAAGAGTATTTAATTTTGAAATATACGCTTGCTTCATGTCAAAGCACATATCAGTGAAGGATCCAGCACTTTTTGGTTCATGAGATAGCAAACAGACACTTCGCACACTTTAAACATTTGTATGTTTATACTTATGTCAAATAATTCTGCTTTTCAAAATATTGGTATGATTGCAGGCTGAGAACTAAAAAGGCCCTAAAATTTTATCCCCCCTGCCCCAAACGTGAGAGCAACAAGTTGATAAAAAAATTTTTTGTTCTATTATTAACTGAGTTTATATTTATCGATTAATTTTAAGTTTCATAGCATTATCTTTCAACGTTTATAAATTACGATTTGATAAAGTTTAAACTCTTCTCAATTTGAGGGGGTTACAAATTTTATATGCTTATAATTTTTGAACACTTAGAGATTGTAAAACAATATTTATTTTGATTATTTGACATAAGTATAAACATACAAGAGATTGAATTTTTTTAGCTCAAACACCAAAAAATGCTGGATCCGTCACTGTCACAGATCTCTTGTTTCTAAAGCTAGTTTACTTTAGTATTCAGCGTTTAAACGCGGCAAATGTACAATAAATATTTATATAAATATAAATTTTCAGCTTAAGACAAATATCTCAAAGAAAATATGTAAAATAATAATTTTTAAATGACTTTTACGGTTCAGAGTTTGCTGATAGATATCGGATCAAATTAATACAACCATTCAATAACAAGAGAGAGAGAAAGCAGTTGCCGTAGCAAGCTCCTTGAATCCACTTTTCTTCTTTCTTAATAATTCTTTACAATAACTCTTTTTAAATTAGATTTTGAAGTTTTTTTAAGCTCAACACACGCTCTACATTATCTTGAATAAATTTTTCTGTGAGCACAGCAAAATTGAATTTTTTATTACAGAATATTTTTCTTAAAAGAGGAAATACGTTTCTTTTATGAGAATATAAATATCCTATCCTGCGATTAATTTTTAAACCCAAGAATATATATGTTTTTTTGAAATATATTTCTTGTTTTGAGAAATAAATTTCCATGGTCCATAGACAATTTTGCTTTGAGTCCTGTTGTTAGCAACTTTAAAGGATTTAAAAAGTTTTGGAATTTATTATATCCAAAAGTCTATAGGAGTCTTATCCGTAACCTTTTTTTTAAACTTACCCAATAATCGGGTAAAATATACAACTTAAAACCTAATGGCTGGTCTTTATCACCAAAAAAGCTGGTTTCAGAAGGATTTCAGCTTTGATTCTATCCGTTTTTACATCTTTTTGGACCTTCCTTTGTTTTTGAATACAGAACTTTTTACCGTTTTTATATTGTGATATCTGTCGAAAGATATTAATGCCATCACTAAACACCTCTATGGTTTTACCACGATTTGAATTTTACCTCTAAAGCTGGCTCAATGTAAAGCAGGCTCAATGTAAATCTGCCAATAGCCTTGTTGATCTTAAATGTGTAAGTTAAAAATAATGCTATGTAGATAAAAAATGGTTTAAAATGACATTGCTATAAACATTTATATATATATTCATACAAATACTTACACACACATTTTGTTTGTTAAATTTGTAGTTGCTTTGATTAACTAGTGTACAAGTTATACTTCCTATCTCTTATAAGTCGCAATGTTCTTTGGGTAAAACTATTTTTGTAAGCCGTATTTGCAATAGCCGTTTTGAAACCAAAGTTAATATTTTGTCTTGTTTTTACTTTAGATTTATTTTTTGTCTTTATGTTTAGCGGATGATATGGGTTTCGTAGAATACGCTTTAGGATTTTTCTACATATATTGTCAATGTATGTGTCGGTGTTTTCAATGTTATATTTTGCTCTGGCAATTTCTGGACTAATACCTATAGATTTTAGCGTTTTTAGATGTATTTGTTGTACTTCGGGCTTTTTTTGATACTACTTGCACACAGTAATAGTGCACTATGGATCACGTGGCTAAGTCCATTGTTTCGGTATATTGCTACTAGTAATTCGATATGAAAGCTTAGTCCAATCTTTCGGTATATTGCTACTTGTAATTCGATATAAAAGCTTAGTTTTTTTAGACTTCTAATTAGGTATTGAGCTGCTGAGAATTTGGGCATGATGCAATGTCAGTGTTGATTGCTGTTTATTTCACTATTTAAATCTAATTCTAGGTATTTATATGAGATTTTGGAGTTGATAGAAACAATTGGTGGTGGGCGTGTGTCGAGTTTGTTCGAGACACTGAAAAAACCTTCATTTAATTGCTTTGCTAAATCTGTATCAATGGATTATTTTTTCGAGGCATTTTTAGTTTTATCGTATTTATTCCGCTATGTGCTTGTTTTTTTAGTGAGGCCACTTTAGGATTGTTTTTTGCGGTGCCGTATTTTTGAGTTATTAATTTTGCATGTTGTTTTTCCTTTCACGAGATTGCCATTGTGGTGACGTTTTTGTCGGATTCGGATTAGTTTCTTAATGTTCGCTTTTATGCATGGTTTATCATTGACAGTTATTGTTATTTTTAATGGTTGGTAATAATTTTTTTAATAATATGTTGGTAGAATAAGTCAAATGCTAGTTGTCCATTGTCTTGGGGAAAGTTTAATAAATAACTTGGGATAATTTGTTATTTTGCTAATGTGGGTGCTGGTTTAGTCTTATATAATGAATTTATTTGAAAAGCGTGGATTATATTATGGTCTGAGTTCCCAAGCGGTGGAAAATTTGTGCATTTGTATACTGATTTTGGGGCATTTGTAAGTATTATATCTAGAACACGGTTTTGTCTTGTCGGTTGGTTATTAAGCTGGTGAAGACTCTGTGCGTTGGTTAAACTTTTTTTGTTGCCACCGTTTAAGTCACCACTTAGGGAAAGTGGGGGCAAAACCGCCCCCGTAACTTTTGGAATAATGTTATATGAAGATAAAAACGAAATGTGTTTTTTTAACAGTTTATTTCAATAACAACATCATTAAGCTTTAAATTGATGCAATTAAGAAAAAAATTAAACGGTTTTTGAAAATTTTATAATACAAAAAGTACAATTAGTGAAAAAAACGGTTTTGCCCCCATTGTGAGGCACAACCGCACCCTCACAAAAATCGATGGGCGACACCTTTCATGGTACATTTTTTTTACGATTTTCACAGCTCAGATTATTTGATGATTTTGTTGCATGTTTGCATACTGTACAGGCATTCTTTGTATTTACATTTTGAGTTCTGCCCCAAAAGAGAGCTCTGCCCCAAAAGAGAGTTCTGCCCCAAAAGAGAGTTTTTAGAAAGAAATCAGTTTCATAGTTTAAT